CCTTCCCCCCCCCCTACCAATGTTGTACTTTACCAATATCCATGTGCAGCATAAAAATGGATTGGCAAAATATTTTCCTGTTAAAAATGTGAATTAATAAATTATTTAAATGTCAATGTGCTTTTCAGGTATCCATGGTAGCCTATGCAAAGCCTTCTGAGCTGAAAAAAGATCTGAATGAACAATTCAGGGAAAAGTTTCCAAATCTCAACATAACACTCACAAAACTAAGAAGGTAACAAGATCGTTTCCAATTTAACAAGTAGGTTATCAGCTTGAGATTACTATAATTTGTTCTATAATTAGCTGATATATACAGTCATGCATTTTTGATTAGTTCCTATCTCTGATCAACATGGATCAGGATGCATAAATGATATCATAATTGAGAAAATATTTTTTTCCTGCTCATGTAAATAAAGATTCCATGTTGCTGTGGGTGTATTCAGTAATTGATCACATTTTGATATTTTTAGAACGTCTGTGACTCACCCAGCGATGCGTTATGTGCCACTTTTTTGTTCTCGCACATTTTGATATCACCTGTGATCTGTAAAAGAAAAGAGGCACTGCAAGATGGAAGGGCTGTGATCACATCATGAATATGTTAACAGCAGCATGTGGTCAATTGTCAATTACAAAGGCTTTTTAGCTGAAGAGAGCAAGAAAATCCTAAAAGTTTCTGATTTTGTGACTTTTTGTTCCTTTAAGCTTAAAGAGAGATATTGTCAAAATAGCATTATCACAAGTAAGTTTGCCAAAAAGTCAGATATACTTTACGAGTCAGCAGTGCTGTTTGTGATAACCTGATGTAGTTTGTTTTTATTTTTTCTTCCTTTACTGCTCTGATTCCATCTTAAGTTAATATTTTTGCATCATAATACATGAAGTTGAGGTTTATAGCAAGTTAGGAGATGTACAATATAAATTTTGCCTATATTGTTTACAATACTCTGTTCATGCGAGGTAGATGCTGGAATGGTTATCATATGATAATGATAATAATACATCAATGTCTTTGCTTTTCAGGATTGCCAGCTGGATCCAACCACTGTGGGTTATGCATTTGTCTACTTTGAAAAACTTATTTTGAAGGTAAATTTTCATTTGTTGCTCACCAGGAGTTTTGGTGTAAATGATATTATGTAGACACTATATTAACCCATTGACGTCCAGTGCGCCCGTATGCGCCCATGGGGACCCACACCCTTTCTACGCCCTGTGACGTCATCACTTTTAGCCCTGGAGCACGAATTCGAGCACCTACTTGAACAGGTTGAAAATATCTTACAGACGATACCAGAATGAGCGCAATTGA